TGGTTATCACATGCGCTTCACAGACGCAAGGTCCCCAGTTCAAACCTGGGCGGAAACAATTCGCCTTCTTTCCGTGTTTGAAAGACACAATTTTGCCATTCTTGTCCTGATGAATGTTCTTTGCTTGTTTCCGTAGCTGCCTCCTCTACAGGCTCTTGATAGTTTTTCGCTTTATTCCCCAGTTCAATCCGGGAACATTTCGCTTTCATTCACTCTATTAAACACTAAATTTGCTACTTTTGTTCTTTTGAATGTTTTTTTGCACGATAATTATTTGTGGAACACAAGTTGCCGCACATGCAGCAGATTTCAGATTGAAGATGACTAATGAAATTACTTCCTGAAAAATAAACCGATAACAAATGTACCGGATTAACCAATGCTTTGGTTTAAACACTTTTAAGGTGCGATACGATTTCTCTAGTGTAGCGGTTATCAAGTGCTCTTTAGAGGCGCAAGGTAAACAATTTGACCATCTATAGAAACAACTATGTGCGCTGTGTTTCTTTCGATACTTTTTTTAAACCTGTAACCGTTATGACTCGTAGAAATTCCTGAAACTTAAAGAATTTTAAAGTTATTTTACTAAAATTTCCAGGATTGGATATTTTGCCAATAGAAAGTCACAAGGGAAATATTATTTTTCAACCACGGGTAAGTTTTCGTAGTGTAGTGGTTATCACATGCGCTTCACACGCGCAAGGTCCCCAGTTCAAACCTGGGCGGAAACAATTCGCCTTCTTTCCGTGTTTGAAAGACACAATTTTGCCATTCTTGTCCTGCTGAATGTTCTTTGCATGTTTCCGTAGCTGCCTCGTCTACAGGCTTTTACATAGTTTTTGGCTTTATTCATGTATATATCAATTTTACATCATTGAAGCGATTGGAAACGATGTAGTTTCCGTAGTGTAGCGGTTATCACGTGCGCCTAACACGCGCAAGGACCCCAGTTCAAACCTGGGCGGAAACAATTCGCTTTCTTTCCCTGTTTTAAAGACACAATTTTGCAATTCTTGTTCTGATGACTGTTCTTTGCGTGTTTCCGTAGTGTAGTGGTTATCACGTGCGCTTTACACGCGCAAGGTCCCCAGTTCAAACCTGGGCGGAAACAATTCGCTTTCTTTCCCTATTTGAAAGACACAATTTTGCTATTCTTGTTCTGCTGAATGTTCTTTGCATGTTTCCGTAGCTGCCTCGTCTACAGGCTCTTGACAGTTTTTCGCTTTATTCCCCATTTCAATCCTGGGCGGGAACATTTCGCTTTCATTCACTCTATTAAACACTAAATTTGCTACTTTTGTTCTTTTGAATGTTTTTTTGCACGATAATTATTTGTGGAACACAAGTTGCCGCACATTTAGCAGATTTCAGACTTGAAGATGACTAATGAAATTACTTCCTGAAAAATAAACCGATAACAAATGTACCGGATTAACCAATGCTTTGGTTTAAACACTTTTAAGGTGCGATACCATTTCTCTAGTGTAGCGGTCATCAAGTGCTCTTTAGAGGCGCAAGGTAAACAATTTGACCATCTATAGAAACAACTATGTGCGCTGTGTTTCTTTCGATACATTTTTTTAAACCTGTAACCGTTATGACTCGTAGAAATTCCTGAAACGTAAAGAATTTTAAAGTTATTTTACTAAAATTTCCAGGATTGGATATTTTGCCAATAGAAAGTCACAAGGCAAATATTATTTTTCAACCATTGGTAAGTTTTCGTAGTGTAGTGGTTATCACATGCGCTTCACACGCGCAAGGTCCCCAGTTCAAACCTGCATGGGCGGAAACAATTCGCCTTCTTTCCGTGTTTGAAAGACACAATTTTGCCATTCTTGTCCTGCTGAATGTTCTTTGCATGTTTCCGTAGCTGCCTCGTCTATAGGCTCTTTACATAGTTTTTGGCTTTATTCATGTATTTATCAGTTTTACATCATTGAAGCGATTGGAAACGATGTAGTTTCCGTAGTGTAGCGGTTATCACGTGCGCCTAACACGCGCAGGTCCCCCAAACCTGGGCGGAAACAATTCGCTTTCTTTCCCTGTTTGAAAGACACAATTTTGCTATTCTTGTTCTGCTGAATGTTCTTAGCATGTTTCCGTAGCTGCCTCGTCTACAGGCTCTTGATAGTTTTTCGCTTTATTCCCCATTTCAATCCTGGGCGGGAACATTTCGCTTTCATTCACTCTATTAAACACTAAATTTGCTACTTTTGTTCTTTTGAATGTTTTTTTGCACGATAATTATTTGTGGAACACAAGTGCCGCACATGCAGCAGATTTCAGACTTGAAGATGACTAATGAAATTACTTCCTGAAAAATAAACCGATAACAAATGTACCGGATTAACCAATGCTTTGGTTTAAACAATTTTAAGGTGCGATACGATTTTTCTAGTGTAGCGGTTATCAAGTGCTCTTTAGAGGCGCAAGGTAAACAATTTGACCATCTAAAGAAACAACTATGTGCGCTGTGTTTCTTTCGATACATTTTTTTAAACCTGTAACCGTTATGACTCGTAGAAATTCCTAAAACGTAAAGAATTTTAAAGTTATTTTACTAAAATTTCCTGAATTGGATATTTTGCCAACAGAAAGTCACAAGGGAAATATTATTTTTCAACCACGGGTTAGTTTTCGTAGGGTAGTGGATATCACATGCGCTTCACACGCGCAAGGTCCCCAGTTTAAACCTGGGCGGAAACAATTCGCCTTCTCTCCGTGTTTGAAAGATACAATTTTGCCATTCTTGTCCTGCTGAATGTTCTTTGCATGTTTCCGTAGCTGCCTCGTCTACAGGCTCTTTACATAGTTTTTGGCTTTATTCATGTATATATCAATTTTACATCATTGAAGCGATTGGAAACGATGTAGTTTCCGTAGTGTAGCGGTTATCACGTGCGCCTAACACGCGCAAGGTCCCCAGTTCAAACCTGGGCGGAAAACAATTCGCTTTCTTTCCCTGTTTTAAAGACACAATTTTGCAATTCTTGTTCTGATGACTGTTCTTTGCGTGTTTCCGTAGTGTAGTGGTTATCACGTGCGCTTTACACGCGCAAGGTCCCCAGTTCAAACCTGGGCGGAAACAATTCGCTTTCTTTCCCTATTTGAAAGACACAATTTTGCTATTCTTGTTCTGCTGAATGTTCTTTGCATGTTTCCGTAGCTGCCTCGTCTACAGGCTCTTGATAGTTTTTCGCTTTATTCCCCATTTCAATCCTGGGCGGAACATTTCGCTTTCATTCACTCTATTAAACACTAAATTTGCTACTTTTGTTCTTTTGAATGTTTTTTTGCACGATAATTATTTGTGGAACACAAGTTGCCGCACATGCAGCAGATTTCAGACTTGAAGATGACTAATGAAATTACTTCCTGAAAAATAAACCGATAACAAATGTACCGGATTAACCAATGCTTTTGGTTTAAACACTTTTAAGGTGCGATACCATTTCTCTAGTGTAGCGGTCATCAAGTGCTCTTTAGAGGCGCAAGGTAAACAATTTGACCATCTATAGAAACAACTATGTGCGCTGTGTTTCTTTCGATACATTTTTTTTAAACCTGTAACCGTTATGACTCGTAGAAATTCCTGAAACGTAAAGAATTTTAAAGTTATTTTACTAAAATTTCCAGGATTGGATATTTTTGCCAATAGAAAGTCACAAGGCAAATATTATATTTCAACCATTGGTAAGTTTTCGTAGTGTAGTGGTTATCACATGCGCTTCACACGCGCAAGGTCCCCAGTTCAAACCTGGGCGGAAACAATTCGCCTTCTTTCCGTGTTTGAAAGACACAATTTTGCCATTCTTGTCCTGCTGAATGTTCTTTGCATGTTTCCGTAGCTGCCTCGTCTATAGGCTCTTTACATAGTTTTTGGCTTTATTCATGTATTTATCAGTTTTACATCATTGAAGCGATTGGAAACGATGTAGTTTCCGTAGTGTAGCGGTTATCACGTGCGCCTAACACGCGCAAGGTCCCCAGTTCAAACCTGGGCGGAAACAATTCGCTTTCTTTCCCTGTTTGAAAGACACAATTTTGCTATTCTTGTTCTGCTGAATGTTCTTAGCATGTTTCCGTAGCTGCCTCGTCTACAGGCTCTTGATAGTTTTTCGCTTTATTCCCCATTTCAATCCTGGGCGGAACATTTCGCTTTCATTCACTCTATTAAACACTAAATTTGCTACTTTTGTTCTTTTGAATGTTTTTTTGCACGATAATTATTTGTGGAACACAAGTTGCCGCACATGCAGCAGATTTCAGACTTGAAGATGACTAATGAAATTACTTCCTGAAAAATAAACCGATAACAAATGTACCGGATTAACCAATGCTTTGGTTTAAACAATTTTAAGGTGCGATACGATTTTTCTAGTGTAGCGGTTATCAAGTGCTCTTTAGAGGCGCAAGGTAAACAATTTGACCATCTAAAGAAACAACTATGTGCGCTGTGTTTCTTTCGATACATTTTTTTAAACCTGTAACCGTTATGACTCGTAGAAATTCCTAAAACGTAAAGAATTTTAAAGTTATTTTACTAAAATTTCCAGAATTGGATATTTTGCCAACAGAAAGTCACAAGGGAAATATTATTTTTCAACCACGGGTTAGTTTTCGTAGTGTAGTGGATATCACATGCGCTTCACACGCGCAAGGTCCCCAGTTTAAACCTGGGCGGAAACAATTCGCCTTCTTTCCGTGTTTGAAAGACACAATTTTGCCATTCTTGTCCTGCTGAATGTTCTTTGCATGTTTCCGTAGCTGCCCCGTCTATAGGCTTTTTACATAGTTTTTGGCTTTATTCATGTATATATCAATTTTACATCATTGAAGCGATTGGAAACGATGTACTTTCCGTAGTGTAGCGGTTATCACGTGCGCCTAACACGCGCAAGGTCCCCAGTTCAAACCTGGGCGGAAACAATTCGCTTTCTTTCCCTGTTTTAAAGACACAATTTTGCAATTCTTGTTCTGATGACTGTTCTTTGCGTGTTTCCGTAGTGTAGTGGTTATCACTATATTGCGCTTTACACGCGCAAGGTCCCCAGTTCAAACCTGGGCGGAAACAATTCGCTTTCTTTCCCTGTTTGAAAGACACAATTTTGCTATTCTTGTTCTGCTGAATGTTCTTTGCATGTTTCCGTAGCTGCCTCGTCTACAGGCTTTTAATAGTTTTTCGCTTTGTTCCCCAGTTCAATCCGGGAACATTTCGCTTTCATTCACTCTATTAAACACTAAATTTGCTACTTTTGTTCTTTTGAATGTTTTTTTGCACGATAATTATTTGTGGAACACAAGTTGCCGCACATGCAGCAGATTTCAGACTTGAAGATGACTAATGAAATTACTTCCTGAAAAATAAACCGATTACAAATGTACCGGATTAACCAATGCTTTGGTTTAAACACTTTTAAGGTGCGATACCATTTCTCTAGTGTAGCGGTTATCAAGTGCTCTTTAGAGGCGCAAGGTAAACAATTTGTCCATGTATAGAAACAACTATGTGCGCTGTGTTTCTTTCGATACATTTTTTTAAACCTGTAACCGTTATGACTCGTAGAAATTCCTGAAAGGTAAAGAATTTTAAAGTTAGTTTACTAAAATTTCCAGGATTGGATATTTTGCCAATAGAAAGTCACAAGGCAAATATTATTTTTCAACCATTGGTAAGTTTTCGTAGTGTAGTGGTTATCACATGCGCTTCACACGCGGAAGGTCCCCAGTTCAAACCTGGGCGGAAATAATTCGCCTTCTTTCCGTGTTTGAAAGACACAATTTTGCCATTCTTGTCCTGCTGAATGTTCTTTGCATGTTTCCGTAGCTGCCTCGTCTATAAGCTCTTTACATAGTTTTTGGCTTTATTCATGTATATATCAATTTTACATCATTGAAGCGATTGGAAACGATGTAGTTTCCGTAGTGTAGCGGTTATCACGTGCGCCTAACACGCGCAAGGTCCCCATTTCAAACCTGGGCGGAAACAATTCGCTTTCTTTCCCTGTTTTAAAGACACAATTTTGCAATTCTTGTTCTGATGACTGTTCTTTGCGAGTTTCCGTAGTGTAGTGGTTATCACTATATTGCGCTTTACACGCGCAAGGTCCCCAGTTCAAACCTGGGCGGAAACAATTCGCTTTCTTTCCCTGTTTGAAAGATACAATTTTGCCATTCTTGTTCTGATGACTGTTCTTTGCGTGTTTCCGTAGTGTAGTGGTTATCACGTGCGCTTTACACGCGCAAGGTCCCCAGTTCAAACCTGGGCGGAAACAATTCGCTTTCTTTCCCTGTTTGAAAGACACAATTTTGCTATTCTTGTTCTGCTGAATTTTCTTTGCATGTTTCCGTAGCTGCCTCGTCTACAGGCTCTTGATAGTTTTTCGCTTTATTCCCCAGTTCAATCCTGGGCGGGAACATTTCGCTTTCATTCACTCTATTAAACACTAAATTTGCTACTTTTGTTCTTTTGAATGTTTTTTTGCACGATAATTATTTGTGGAACACAGGTTGCCGCACATGCAGCAGATTTCAGACTTGAAGATGACTAATGAAATTACTTCCTGAAAAATAAACCGATAACAAATGTACCGGATTAACCAATGCTTTGGTTTAAATACTTTTAAGGTGCGATTCGATTTCTCTAGTGTAGCGGTTATCAAGTGCTCTTTAGAAGCGCAAGGTAAACAATTTGTCCATGTATAGAAACAACTATGTGCGCTGTGTTTCTTTCGATACATTTTTTTAAACCTGTAACCGTTATGACTCGTAGAAATTCCTGAAACGTAAAGAATTTTAAAGTTACTTTACTAAAATTTCCAGGATTGGATATTTTGCCAATTGAAAGTAAGAAGGGAAATATTCTTTATTAACCACTGGTAAGTTTTCGTAGTGTAGTGGTTATCACATGCGCTTCACACGCGCAAGGTCCCCAGTGCAAACCTGGGCGGAAACAATTCGCTTTCTTTCCCTGTTTGAAAGACACAATTTTGCCATTCTTTTTCTGCGGAATATTCTTTGCATGTTTCCGTAGCTGCCTCCTCTACAGGCTCTTGATAGTTTTTGGCTTTATTAATGTATATATCAGTTTTACATCATTGAAGCGGTTATCAAGTGCTCCTAACAGGCGCAAGGTCCCCAGTTCAATCCTGGGCGGAAATAAACACTTTGCTTCTTCTATTCCTATTTTGAACACTGGATAACCGTTTGTGGTCAAATGTTATCGCACAGCAGATTTCAAACTTGAAGATGGCTTATGAAAATAGTTTTCTTTAAATAAACAATTGATATATATATACCGGATAACACCAGCTTCTTCCTTTGAACACTTCAAAGATGCTACGCAATTCATATAGTGTAGCGGTAATCACGTGCACCTTACACGCCACAGAACCCAATTCAGAACTTAGTGGAAACAAACTACATGTGCGCTGTGCTTCTTTTTTCCTATTCCTTTTCAAACATTGGAAAGTTTTCGTAGTGTAGTGGTTATCACATACGCTTCACACGTGCAAGGTCCCCAGTTCAAACCTTTGCGGAAACATTTGGCTTTCTTTCCTTCTTTTAAAGACACAATTTTGCCATTCTTGTTCTGCTGACTGTTCTTTGCGTGGTTCAGTAGCTGCCTCGTCCACAGCCCACAGGGTCTTCTTATTTATTGGCTTTTTTTATGTATATATCAGCTTTACATCAGGTTAAGAAGCTCAGTGGAGCAAAATCTACTAGCGGAAATAACGAAGAAATCCTTAAAGCCTTAAGACCTGATGAACACCTTACGGAAACAGATAAAGTAGATATTGCAAACGAGATAAATGATTCTTTTCTTTCCCCAATGGCTGAATTTACTCCTCTCACTCCAGAGAATTACCAAGATCTGTTATTTGGCGCAGTTAATGATTCTACTGTCACAATTGCTGCAGGAGACGTATTTAAAAGACTGTCAACGCTTAATCCAAGGAAAGCCCACGGCCCTGATGGAATACCAACATGGGTGTTAAAAGAGAATGCTGATTTATTGGAACTTCCAGTCAAAGAGATCCTAGATAGTTCTTACCGCGAATGCCGTATTCCACAATCTTGGAAAGAGGCCGACATTATTGCTATCCCTAAAAAGAAACCCATAACTGACATTAATAACAACCTACGTCCAATATCATTAACACCTATTTTATCAAAACTGGCCGAAGAATTCGTGGTTGAACAACACCTAAAACCTGCGGTATTAGCCACAATTGATAAAAGGCAATTCGGATCCATCCCGAATTCAAGCACTACGTATGCCCTTATCAGCATGTTGCATTTTTGGAATAAAAACACGGACGGAAATGGCTCTACAATCAGAATTATGCTTTTTGACTTTCGTAAAGCTTTCGACATGATAGATCATCATATCCTCGCACGAAAACTGTTAAAATACAACATCCCAAAACCTATATTGCATTGGATCTTAGACTTCCTCACTGATCGCAGTCAGAGAGTTAAACTTAGCGATGACTGTTTTTCCGAGTGGAAGGCTGTGCCAGCGGGTGTCCCCCAGGGGACAAAATTAGGCCCTTGGCTTTTCTTAATCATGATGGACGACCTTGATGTTGCTGATAACAAGAACCTTTGGAAATACGTAGACGATTCAACTATGTCTGAAGTCATAAATAAAGATCAACCTAGTATAATGCAAGCGTATGTCAACGAATTCTCTTCAAAATCTAGAAGTGATGGTATGCAGTTAAAAGAGTCCAAATGCAAGGAACTTCGAATAAGTTTCTCAACTGTAAAGAGAGAGTTTGATCCTATTATTATCAACGACAAAAACATCGAAGTAGTCCAGTGTGAAAAACTACTCGGTTTAACCATCTCCGACAACCTCAAATGGAATAAACATATTGAGACTGTATGCAAGAAGATTTCAACTCGTCTATACTTCTTGCGACAATTGAAACGGGCAAAGTTACCATCCAAGGATCTTCTCTTGTTCTATGTTACTTGTATTCGGCCGGTTGCTGAATACGCGTGCGAAGTATTCCACGATTCCCTTACAAAATACCTGTCAGACGATCTCGAAAGATTACAACGCCGAGCTTGCAGAATAATCCTCCCCGAACATTCGTACGAGGATGCACTCAATCAACTAGGTCTCTTGTCACTGTTCGATCGAAGACAAAATTTGACCGATAAACTTTTTCGGCAAATTGTTAATGATCCGCAAGACAAATTACACCATTTATTACCAGCATTAAATTTATCTGAGGCATCTCTGAGAGAAAGAAGAATATTTCAAGTTCCAAACTGTAGAACATTTAGATTTAAAAACGATTTTATCAATTTCAACTCTAGTAAATACGTATAATATATCTGAGACACTAAATAATGTAAATAGATAGTTTTACCAATTGAACCTCCACTTTTATGGATTTTAATAACATAGATCATACTTTTTGTAACACTTAAGGTTTTTCAGCCGGAGCCTATTGCCGAGGCTGCAAGTTTTAAGTCAATAAACCATCTATCTATCTATCTATCTGAAGCGACTGGGGACGAGGCAGTTTCCGTAGTGTAGCGGTTATCACGTGCGCCTGACACGCGCAAGGTCCCCAGTTTAATCCTGGGCGGAAACACTTTGCTTCTACTTTTCCTATTTTGAACACTGGATAATCGTCTGTGGTCAAATGTTATCGCACAGCAGATTTCAAACTTGAAGGTGGCTTATGAAAATAGTTTTCCTTAAAGAAACAATTGATAAATATACCGGATAACACCAGCTCCTTCCTTTGAAAACTTCAAAGATGCTACGCAATTCATGTAGTGTAGCGGTAATCACGTGCACATTACACGCCAGAGAACCCAATTCAGAACTTAGCGGAAACAAACCACATGTGCGCCCTGCTTTTTTTTTCCTGCCATATAAATAAGATAAAGAATGCGAAATTAAATTGGCGAAACATCTCCTGTTCCAATAACATATCGAAATTTGTTTGCTTAGGAGTGCGATATTTCTTAATTAGACCTTGGAACGGGAGAGCTCTTTCTAGGCGCAAGGTGAACGGTTTTACCATGTACAGAAACAGCTATGTGCGCTGT